GCCGCGATGTCTACCCATGATTTCCAGGTCTAGGAGGACACAACGGCTTTGGAAGATGGATGGTCGATAAGAGAGAGAGGAATGACGTGTCAGCACCAATCGCGATCTCCGCAACCCAGCTTACCACGCGCAGCTTTAGCGCGATTCATCAACCTCGGCATACCTCCACATTATAGCATTCCACGACCGAGCCGCAACCCGAGCTATTACTAGATCAACCCCAGACTCCGCCCGTGATCACTTCTATCGCATCACCATAGCCATACTCACCAGTCCTTCACCGACAAATCCTCCGAAAGTCCCTAACTAAACGCGACCGTCGCGACCTTCTCTCGCATTCCAAACGCCGACGAACCTCTCCTCCGTTGCCGTCGCGCCGCCGCCGCCGAAACGCGTCCATAAGCCCACCATGTCCGAGTCCCTCACCACCAAGCAAGTCGCCGAGCACAACACAGTCGAGAAGGGACTGTACATAATAGTCGACAACGATGTATACAAGATGGATTCGTTCGTGGACGAGCACCCAGGTGGCGCTAAGATCCTGAAGAGAGTCGGTGGAAAGGATGCTAGCAAGCAGTTCTGGAAGGTACGTTATAGCCAATACATATGGAAGGCGGGAGGGAAGGAGTTCCTGGGACGATTCGTTACGCGCGGTCTTCCAGGGCTGGATTTGCTGTTGCGAGCTTGGTCTTGGTACCGCCGCGCTGATGGTACTCGGTGCTCGGTACCAGCGGAATCATGGCACACTGGACCCTTGATCTGATCATCGAAAGCGCCTTATCGCACATGAAGTTTGGATTTGCTGACCAAGACACAGTACCACAACGAGAGCGTATTGAAGAAGTACGCACCTAAGCTCAAGATTGGCACAGTCAAGGAGGAGTCCAAGTTATAGATACACATTTAATTATACCAATGATCACTACTCAATTCACCTACGTTGCATATCGCGCATCAAATACCCGATCCATGAAGAAATGCGATGCCATGACGCAATGCTCACCGCCTGTTGCATGTTCATTCACCACACCAGCAAGACTACCACGAGATCAATGCAAAACTATAAATTACGACAAACTTCTAACTCTATGGACGTATTGGTATAATGCGTTCTCTCTGATTCAAAAGCAATAAGCTCGCAAAAACAAACATGCCGTGGGTATCGTGATATAGCAAACGCCTGTTCTCAATGCTGCGCGAAAATATGCCAAAATCGTTGCTGCGTAATGTCACTCTTGTTCTCTCTCTCTTTCTCTGCTTTTCACATCTAGAAGCACGTCCACCGCTTCTTCACGCCAGGTCTTGAATTCGGCCTGGGTGTAGGGCTCGTCCGCGGCCGCGCACTGTCCTTCTCATTCATATGCGCGTCATCCAAATCGTCCATGCGATAGCGGCGCACAGATCCAGCATCCGACTGATCTTTCTCGTAGAACTTCTCTTGCGGGCCGGAAACACATCGCGGTGTTACTTTGCGGAAGAAACCTCGTAGACCGCTGTTGGCTTTGTCGATTCTTTCGTACTCGCGTTTTCGCGTGCATGGCGATGTCCAGTGCATGGTTGTGTTGGTCTTTTCTGCGTCGATTGTGTCTTCGCTTTGGCGGGGCATCGATGTTTCTTCCACTACGCGTAGACTGTCTGAGCTGAAACGCGTCGCTGCGCTGGGAAACCCGAATGCGTCACCGTGAGACATTGCCGGGCTTGGAAGACCGGAATTTGACTGATAGGATGGATTGGAGAAGATGCTGCAGCTGCGAAAGTGCAGAGCGAGAACGTCGTCGACATCTTGGCTGGTTGTGGTGGCGGGTGGTGTTTGGAAACTCTTCACTCGGTAGTGGCGCGCAGGCCTGGATGGGTCCACAATAGTACAGGAAGTGCGTCGCGATGAGGGCTTTGAACCATGGCCACGGCTCTTTGATCTGCTGTTCGAGTTTTCTGATGATGTGGTTGACTGTTGTCGTAATGGTCGTGAGCGCTGCTCTGATACTGGTCGTCGTGGCTCCATGTCTGCAACCTGGAGAGGAGCGATCGATTCGACTTTATTTCTGCGATGTTTGCTATGCCGGATGGTATTGTTGTTGCACAGTGGTTCTTGGCTGGGTATCTTAGGGAGATAGGAACCCGCAACACTATCAATTCGATTCATCGCCGATCTATCAAAGATCGAAAACGGGGAGTGACGTAGATGTGAGGTGTCTTAAAGGATATTGAATCGGTAATATTGTCTTAGTGGTGAATAATTTCGGTACTCGTCTAGGTCGGATATCAGTATCGGAATAGGAAGGTTCTGTGCTCAAGGGGTAAAAGCCCATACCAGCAGCCAGTGCCAATACCGAAACACACAGATTTGGATTACTCGCGCGAACGGCACACACAAGCGGTATAAGAGAATGAAATCTGGAATCACAGGCGGGCTATGTGACGCCAGTAATTGTTGGGTCAGTCAAGTGACGAACCGCGGGACCCGCCTGGAGGACTATTGAATCAACCGCGGTCAGTAGGAGGGAAACTAGAGCCTAGTATATAAAGAAGAGATCAAAACGTCCCAAATGTCGATCTTGGCCGTTGGTTGGCCCAGACCCTGCCAGCATGCAGCGAGACGCACGGCATGCACGATCTCTTGACGAGTTTGAGCCGAGCGCGTGGGCACCTCTACGAAAAGGGTTGGGAGTTCACCGCCTCCCAGGACTCGATTTCCGGGGCCTGAATAGACTAGGCGCGTGAAAAGACTAGCGGCGCGATTAAACTGGAGAAGGATTTCGCTAGCTTCCGTGCGTTCGAGACGGAGCATGACAGATGCACTAAATATGTCACAATCAGAGTCGCACATGGGGGGCAGAGGACGAAACATTCAAGTATGATGTCGTCGGCTTTCACATGCCAGCGATGATGTGGTAGCGCGTGAGAGGCCACACACACAGCTTCGGATGCTGATCACTTCGGGTTGGCTCGTGATAAGGGAAGGAGGGCGCGAGGCCATGTCGAATAGACGCGAGTGGCAGCCTCGTCTACCGACAAGTCGATCCGGCACAACCTTGGGAGTGCAGCACGGACGGCGGGAAGGACCGAATCAAATCAAAGAACGACAGGCCAGCGACATCGGGCCAAGATGACCCACGCTCGACTCAGGCAAGCGCACGCGGAAATGTCGAGCCTGAAAAGTAAAGGATGCCAAATGAAGCGCTGCGCATGGCGTCGTGGGCATTGCTGAGAGGGGCGTCAGGGAAGATTACACCAAACCGCTGCGGCGGGTACCGGCGCAGAACCCTGAACCACCACCTTAAAATACATCACTCCTACCACAGCCCTTTGACACGAATTAGAGACTGGAAAAGTCTTTACTCCCACATATATGTCTTGTGGGTGCGCGGCCCGCTGCCTTACTGCTTACAGTTATCCGCTGCAAACGCTCTTTGGAGGGTGGAACCCATGCGCCAAGGCCACATCCAATGCAGATGATGCAGCTGATCGGGCCAGGGACGCCGCCAATGGCTATGTCATGCGGCAGCACAACACCACCAATTGCGTCCTACTCGCACGCGGAGATGAGTCTGCATTGCAGCTTTTCTGTCGCTAAGCTAGTCATCGCAAGGGTCGTCTGGAAGATCGGCTCGCACGTGGTATCCTCACGAACCCCTCTTTCACTCCACTACGCAGGCACAATGCGCACACTGCGAACTCAGTGCGAGGCATCACAGAAAGGCGGTATGACTTGGCAGGTACCATTCCTCCCTTTTGACTCGCAGGTAAGAGGGCCTGTGCGATGAAACGAACGCAGAGCTTCTCCACTACCCTACAGTTCCGTGAGTGCGTGCCCCGTTCCGCGGGTCGTTCGGAAATAACCTGTACGGATTGCCTATTGTATCTCGTGGTAAAACCCCTCAATCAATTTCGCAACCTCGTCAAAAGCCTCAAGACAGTGCCAATGCCCGACTCCCTCCATAACCTCCAACTTCTTCTCGCTGCTACCAATCTCTTCAAACATCGTCTTGCATCCTTCAAGCGGTGCGCTCCTGTCCTCCTCACCAGCGAGAATGAGTACGGGCACGCTGATCTTGCTGTACTGAGGCGGCTTTGCATTGATAATGACTCGACAGTTGGAAATATAACCCGCTGGATCCTGCGATAGCAATAACTCGCGGATCATCGCTTTGACCAGTGGAGACGCTTTCTTCCCGACTGCAGCATGTGGGATGCTGTCGGCCATGGGTTGCATACCGTCTTTTGCAACGGTTTCTATCCGTTCGTGAAAGCGGGGGCCTGCCTCAGGGTTGGGATATACAGGGCCGATCAGAATAGCTGCTATAATGCGGTCACTTCGCTCAGCCGCAAGGTGTGCGCCGACGATGCTAGAGACGTGTCAGTTGTCGTGTTCGCTGCAGTCGCGTCTTCCAAGGCTTCTTTCTGCCCGAGACGTTGCTGACGTACCCTCCCATGCTGTGCCCAACGAACACAGCCTTGTCGACGTTCAGCGCCTCCAGAATTCCAATCACATCTTCTCCTAGCGTCTCAATACTCTGCTCGACAAATGTGTACGTCGATCGACCAGCCCCTGTGTTGTCGAAGGTAATGCAGCGGAATCCGTTCGCGACCAAGCTCTGAGTTACTGGCTGATAGTAATTCTGCGAAGAGCCCAGCCCGTGCATGAAGATGAGTGTTTCGCGTGTCTTGCCATCTTGTGGTTTCAAGTCGGTGTAGTGAAAGCGTTTGTAGCCGACGTGGAGGAAAGGCATGTTGGATGGAATGTAGCCGTGTTTGTGAGTTCGTTTCACAACAGCTTGAGATGGGCGACGGGACTGGTTCCGATCGGAAGCGGAACTATGCGGATAGTGCTGATGACATCACTGGGGTACAGCAAGCACAAGAACACTGAACTTCGTCGCATCTGCACAAATTTACGTTTCTCTAACCCGAAAGCCATGATTGATTACCGATGTAGTGTATCTGAACATATGATAGCCATAGCATTTACGGAATCCAACCAAATAATGAACAAACACCTCTCAACTGTCACTCGACCCATCTGTAATGATCTTCACCTGATACCACTCATGTATCGCCTGCTTGCACTCCTCTCTCAATCTCGCGATTGCTGGCGCATCATCCTTTGCCAATAACGTCGATAGTAGTTGCGCCAGCCCCTCTCTCGTAGTAACCTCCTTCAACGCGTCTAAGCCAGGATCCTCGTTCGCCGTCTCCGCAATTCCCAGCATCCTACTCGCATCGCTCTTCGCCCGCGATCTCCTTCGCCTGCCAAAAATTGAGAACACGCTTCGTGACTGGGTCTGTTGCTCCTGCCCACTGGCATCCCACAGCGCGACTCGGCTGATGAAATGCTTTATCGCCGCTTCTTCGAAGCTCTCTCTTCGTCTTTCAATCGCCTTGTCAAATTCCGGGTCGAGCGTGTAGCTGTCGTGGTCCCATCTGTAAAGCAGGTAGCGGAAAGTGCGCACTTCAGCGTCGGGTATAGATAGGTCGCCGAAGTCTGTTGTGAAAGGGTCGTAGGAGATCGAGGAAGATGATGAAGTCGGTCGTTCGCTGGTGGTACTCGTTGGTGTTGCGACGTGGCCGTATTTCAGTTCGAGAGCGTGGTGCGTATCTATGACTTTTTGGAGAGCGACTTTGCGTTTTTGGAGTACAGCGTCGGTGCCTTCGAAGAGGTGTGGAGAGGATGGTTTGCTGGACAGGTGGCTTCTGCTGCGATGGAGGCCGAAGGTGTGATGCCGCTTGGATTCTAGAGATGGTCGTGTCATGGTGTCCGTGTCCATATTCAACCCAGTTGTCTTTTCGTGGAGTAGTCAAGATAAGGATTAGTCTAAATAGAACAATAGAGGTGAGATCAAGCGTATCGTTGTGAATATTCAGTTCCTAGAGCATACGTATGGTGAAAGAGGTGAAACCCATGAAAGAGAAAAACCAGAAACCAGGAAGAAAGGCCACAGACTCAACCCTCTGCCAACAAACTCAACCGTGGATGCCGGCTAACCCAGACGCCCACGCCCAATTGACGCACATCCCGTTAGCCGAGAAGGGGGAAGGGGGTGACGCAAGCCCTTTTCTGACATGCAGATCTGCGAGGGCAGACTCATCCTCACCACCGGTGTTGTATAAGATGTAAAAGTTGTGTCGCGGGACGCTGACTCTAGTGACGATCTATTGGCAGCGACTGTGCCACCGCTTTGTTGAGCCACTTCATGAGCCACTTCGTGGTTCAGTCACTGCGCCGCAGGGTGCGCGGCATTTTTCGGCGTTAATTAAAGTGGGGACGGCGACACGCTGGCTAGGGCGCTGACGCCAAGTCGTGCTTTGGCCGATGATCCGGCGAGCACAGTGATGCCGTGAGGTTGCTCGTGCTGCGAGCTTACGCGTCGAAATGTCTGTTCTGAGAGTGTGCGTGCTGGGCCGTCATTGCATCGTATTGCAACCCCGCACGGTGAAGCTTTGGCAGGAAGAAGGCTGAGTCGACACGATGAACAGAACGAACGGGTATGTATTCACGCGCACTACACCGAATATTCGGTCATCCAGCGCTGCCGGCGAGGATGCTACGATGTACCTGGAACATGAAGGAAGTCCCCAATGATTTCCTTCAGTGAGCGAAACGCCATGCAATGCAAGAACGACCGGCCTCTAACAACGCGAACGGGAACTCGAAAAGCAGCAAAACATCCAACCGTCAATCCTTAAATTGGCCAAGAAAATGCGGTTTACTCGGAAGGCGGTACAGTCTCCGTCTTGCCGTTGGGTAATATGTGTTGGGTGGTGCTCATACGAACGCTGGACGGCCTTTCAAGCTTCTTCCCGTCTTCTGCAGCATTTCCATTCTGCACGTCTTTCTCGAGATCCTTGTGTCCACTCGTGACATCAGGCAGCGCTTCGGCTTCGTTCAATGCTTGTTTGACCAACTTCTTCGCCTCGATCGCAAGATTGGGGATTTCCTCCACCTCCTTGTTCTTGTTCAGGTATGAGTCCAGTAGCGCTTTGAGCGTCTGCGCGCGAACCGGTTTCGCGAGGTAATTGTTCATGCCTACTAGGTCAGCACATGTTTCAAACCTAGATTAAGCTGCCAGAACTTACCGGATTCCAGGCACTTCTCGCGGTCTCCTTGGATAGCGGAAGCGGTCATGGCAATGATGAGTACATTTCGAATCTCGGGATTGGGATGCTTGCGGATCAGTTTCGTAGCTATACATGGTCAGTATTCATGTGCTAGCCAAGGCGCGAATAGCAATCCTTACCTTCGTAGCCATCGCAATGCGGCATTTGCACATCCATGAGAATAAGATGGAAGGGGCGCCCATTCTCCGAAGCACGCTCAAGAGCGTCGATAGTCTTGTATCCGTCGAGATAAGCGTCGCATTTGAAGCCAAGCTTTTGCACGAAGCTGATTGCGATGCGCTGATTAATCAAGTTGTCTTCCGCGATGCAGACCCGTAGTTCTCGTCTGGGTATCGTGGAAAGATCGATGCAGGAACCCGACAATTGCTCATGACCATTGTTTTCCTGGCTTGAGAACCTAGCCATAGGGTCTGGCTCTCGTGCCCTTTGCTGCTGACTTCCTGCTTGCGCTTTCGGCACTTTCTTGAACCGTAACGAAAACGTGACCGTTGTACCTTGGCCTGGCTGGCTGTCGAGACGTACTGTACCGTGCATAACGTTCTCTATGAGGGCTTTGCAAATACTCAGACCAAGGCCAGTGCCACCGTAACTCCTAGCGGAGCTTGACTCTATCTGCGAGAAAGGGAGGAACAATTTCTGTTTCTGTTCGTCTGGGATACCGATGCCAGTATCTATAACGCTGCAAGTTATATCTGCCCAGTCATCTGTCTCTTGGTCAAGAACAGCGCGGACAGTGACAGATCCACGTGGCGTGAATTTGTAGCTGTTGGATAACAAGTTCATCAGAATCTGGTGCAGTCGGACAGGGTCGCCCATGACGAGCATCTCTGGATCCAGATACAATTGCTCAATGGTTTTGAGGCCTCTTTCGGCATTCGTGTAGGCCAGAGCGCGGACGACTTCAGTAATCGTTTCGTTCAACGAAATCGGCATCTCCAAGACGTTCATCTTGCCAGCTTCGAGCTTGGAATAGTCCAATAGGTCGTTTATGATCGAGAGCAATGTATCGGCGCAGACTCGAATCGAATCGGCGTATCCGGATTGTTCTGAGTTCAGCGGTGAAGCTTTCAACAGCTCAGACATGCCAATCACGCCGTTCAAGGGAGTTCGCAACTCGTGCGAGACGTTGGCAAGGAACAGACTCTTTGCCTTGGCGGCTTCTTCCTTGAGCTTCATGTTACGCACAGCTATGGCTTCCGCCTCTTTCGCCTTGATCTCTGCGGCCCGCGCCTGTGACAAAGCGCGTTTCTGCATCTCAAGCATTGCTTCGTTGCTTGCGGATACTCTTTCCACCTCTTTGAAAAGCAGTGCATTGGCCAGGGAGATGGAGATTTGGTTGACCAGTAATCGGAGAACCTGAGTGTTACGTTCAGTGAACGAATTCGGCGGGCCCTCGACATATATTGAACCAAGAAGGTGATCGCTGTGCAGAATCGGGATGCAGATGACTGCTTTCCCCTCGGGATTTCGTTGAAGGTAGGCGTCAGAAACGTTGGAGAAGCGGTCGTCTTCTAGTAGGTTCTGGACGAAGACTATCTCTCGGAAGCGGAGTGTGTAGAGCGTCACTTGCCGCGCAACAACATCGTCCACAGTATCTAAAGGTTGACTGGCAGGGAAGGATGTGACGCCGGAAGAGACCCCACTGTCGTTGTCAGGCTCGTTGGTGGCAACGCATGCGATCGACCATTCGATTTGTGAGTCTTCAATCACTATGCCGCACAAGGTACCGCCCGTAGATTCGAGCAAAATGGTACTCATCTTTGCCATCAGTTTATCGACGACGAGCTCGCTAGACAAGACTTGACTCGATTCCAAGATTGAAGATAGGTCTAGCATGTCCAGACCTACAGCCGAGAGACCGTTGTGTAGAGCTGGAGCAGACTCTTGGCGCCGTGTTTCCGGGACAATCCAGTTCTGTGTTCGATCGACGGCAGTCTCCGAGCCTAGGAATTGATCATGATCATTTTGCTCCAGCCTGAAGGCCGTGTTACCCGTGTCTACGAGGGAGGTTTGTACAGCTTGGTCTACTGTCGTGAGCGAGGCGCCGCTACGCACTAGCCACTCATACCGACTCGCGAAGTGATTTGCTTTTCCATATGCTGACATCCTCCGATATACCGAGATGCAGTCTTTCAAAGAATGTCGGGCCGCCCTGTAGGCCTTCTTGTCTACCAACCATCCAGTGTAGAGCTCGAGAGCAAACGCTTCGTCCAATGCAAACTCGTAACGTTCGCTATGCTCCATGGCTGCCTCATAATTCTCCAGCGCGGATTGCGGATCGGCATTAACATCCCCGAGGACGGCAGTGAGAAGATGTATCCAGCCCCGGTAGTTGACATCAGTGGTGGTGCAACATGTCTCGAGCAATTTGAGGGTCTCATGAACATGTTTTACCATCTCGTCTCTCCGGCTATGAGCGGGCTTCTCTCGGAGGACAGCCATGTATGCCAACGATAAGTAGTATCGAACCGAGTAATTGAGTCTTTCTGACCAGAGACTGCTCAGCATTGGAAGTAGCATCTCCCCAAGAGCCACTGCATCCGAATGATGACCATAGAGTACCAACAACGGAAGTTTGGTTGCAAGATAGATAGACTTGGGACGCTTGGGATTGCTGGCCGTATTTTCGAGGAACTCAATGTACTCGACCTCATTGTGATCGTCATCCGAGAGGAGGGAAAGAGCGTTGCTTGAGTCAGTCTTTCCCTGGAGCGCTCTTGCATATTGACGAGCAGCCATGAGAAAAACTCCTCCACGCATGTCTTTCTGCCAGTTTCGCATATCGAGCGGTGTTTCCTCAATCCATGCTTCCAATTCTGCGACGTCGTATGAAGCCATGACCCTGAAGTGAGCCTGTACACCAAGATTCAGAAGTGTGAGGATGCGATCGCCAGCAGTTAGTGAAGCCTGCAAGGCTGCTTCTAAGCTCGGTATCAGATCGCCTACAGGCGCTTCCAAGTGACCCAGGAACATTGGCTGCAAAGTTTGACCTCGTCCCAGGGTGTAGTAGTCTTCAGGAAACTGCAGAGGTAGAGGTATGAAGTCAGCATATATCTCACGTGCACTTCGTATAGCCAGAACTTACCATCTGAAATATTCGCTTTGCAATCGCACCCATGTCGACTGCGAAATTCGTCATTCCGAAACGACCGCCCGCAACAGTGCCCAGATGCACGTATGCAAGGGCAACCTGTGACATGGTACCCTTTTCGAGATGGACGGTGATAAGCTTCAGCGTCGCCTGATAGAAAAGCAGGCTGTTCGACCAGAACGCCGCACTAAGGAGTTCGATGAAGACAGGCCCAATAGTCATCAGGACACGGTCATCAGGAGACGGACGCCGCTTGAGCAGTTCTTCCTTATCGATGTTCTGAAGCGTGCCATATATCTGCTGAAACTGAGCATCGCACGCCTCCCATGTTGTCGGAGGAATAGGGGAATTGAGCAAAGACAAACAGTCTTTGAGAGCCTGGAACGCACTATAGATGGTGATGTCGTTAGCTGACTGTCGCGATAGTTGCAGTGATGAAAGGCGACAGGTACACATGCAAGTTCCAAAGGTCATGCTATCTTGCAAGAGTGAAACCTGCTCCAGGCGCATGCACGGAAGGGATGTGGAACATTACTTACCCGAAACTGTCGCCGCGAATAGCGAACACCCTAGACTGTAGAATGAACGAACTAGCCATATCGCAGGGATCGCGGGCATGCTGGAAGGTCGTCCGGATCAAGCTAAGAGCCTCATCGAACATGCCCTGGTGCCAATAGCATTCTGCCGAGCGCACAAAGAGTTGCAACGTCTCTTGGTAGGATACGTCCGGCATATTGTCGTTCCATGGATCGTCTTGCAGAAGCATGAGGCTGTGCGCGAAATAGTAGATGCCAGTTGATCGCGCGCCCGACTCGCATGCAGTTTCTCCAGCTTGATACAGCATATCGCGGAATGGAGCTCGCACTGTTTCCTTGGTCTTGATCAGTTCTGCAGCGAGACAGATGTGGCGACTCTGCATGTACAACGCCTTGGAACCTGACGTTGAGTCGTCGTTATACTCCTCGCCGGATGTTATCATCTTGGCAATGGTGAAGTGCATCAACTGTGTATCCCATTCCTTGTCGAGGGAGTTCACAGCCGCTGTAAGGTACCGATCGTGACTGAATCTGAATCGAGCATCTTGTTCAGCAGGCATGAGTACGTAGGCTTTCAATGCTGCATCAAGAGCTGTGACGGCAGACTCGTCTCTCTCGAAAAGTGGTAGCCTCCCATGAGCTGCGGGCTTATTGGTAGGCTGAAGGAGCTTCTTCAGAAGTTCGAACGAGAAAGTGCCGCCCAGGAGGGATGCCCATGCCAAGAGCTTCCTACTGGAAGATGGTAATTCTGTCAACCGCTTTGTTATAAAGTCAGTCGTAACAGATGACCCATACTCTGGACTCTCGAAAACGGCGAAGACTTTGTCTAGGTCGAAAACCCAGGTGTTCTCCCGCCACTCGTAGTACACACAGCGTTTCCGATAGCAAGTGTCTAGTATCTCGCGTATATAGAAGAGGTTGCCTCGAGACTTCTCCTGAATTACCGCTACTAGAGGAAGGATATACTGATGGTCCCGGTGGAGCGTCTCAGCCACGTAGTCGGCCGTCTGGGCCTCTACAAAAGGAAGAAGTTGTACTCTGGTAGCGTGACGCAGTAGTGGGGTGAGTTCTCGGGGTAGGGTCTCTTCGTCGCTGTACGTGAGCATAAGAACAAGCGGAATTTTGGCTTGCACGATGTGATGAATCAGCTCAGCGCTTTCGGGATCGGCATACTGAACATCTTCCAAACTCCATGTGCAGAGCTTGTGCATTGCCAGGAGTCGTAGAACATCTATGAAGACATTCATGAATCTGGAAGATTTCGAAGCACCTCCGCTTCGTAGCCAAGCCTCGGCAGTATGTCCAGCTGATCCGCAGTGAACGGCAGGAGATGATGCCCGTCGAGTCAGATCCTTAGTAGGCTCCATGTCCTTCTGTTGCGGACTCTTTCCGTTCGTGTTTAAGAGCCATTCCGGTAGATCAAGGTAGGTCCGTAACACCGCCCAAACTCCACTGTTCCTGAGGTAATGGCGCAATCTCTGGTGAAATTCCGTCGTTACGTCCGCCTCGCTGACTAGACAGGGGGATGTAAGTTAGTAGCTGGTATAGGGGAACATGATTGTCTAAGATCACTGTACATACTGGCTAACGTTAGTACAATTGCGAGCATGGAGAGTAGTCCTCAGAGAGACTTACCATATTTGGCGGAAGAAAGAAGACATCAGCCGAAGAATGGGGTCAAATGGTGCTTTCTTGGCGGGATCAAATTTAGCCATAGCGAAGTAGCCAGTGCTCCTTGCTGTGCTCTGTACGCTCTGCACGAGACGAGATTTACCCAATCCGGTGGCACCGGCGATGGCTATCACCTCACATCGCGCCTTGCGCCTTAGTTTTCGCGTGCTGGCTAGAGTTCTTAGGCCATCGTTGGATTGGTGGCTGCGAGAGTAGAGTCCGGTGCTTTCAATGCTATTGTTGGAACGGCCTCGGCTCGCGGATTGCAGTTGGGGCCGACTGTCCACACTTCCTTCAGCCGTTGATGATTCTGACTGTGCCACACTATCTTGGGAGCCCTGTTGCATCGACCGAGCGCTTTCCATGAATACAGGGCCATCTGCCGAAACGCTGTTGAGCCTGCTGTCGGAGCCTCTGGAGCTAGTGCTTTCGGAAATGATGTCGTCAAATTGCAGGTCTCGTCGTTGATCTGAAAAGGAGGAACCTGAGCTCAGGCTCTGCAACGCTTTGACGTTACTCCGACGATGTCTCGCTACGCGCTCTATCACGTCCACTATAGTCTTGCGCTCTTTCTCACGCCCGATCAGTTTGAGGGGCAAGTTGAAGAAGCAACTGATGTCCTTGGTGCCTACATGGAAGGCCTTCAATCCTTCTACATCTCCATCGTAAAGAAGCTCGCGAATACGAAAGAGATCGAATTTCAAGCCTGAAGTAGAGTGGTATCTCTCCTCAATATTGCGCTGCGTCATACGTTGGATGATCTCGGACAGAGCCTCTGGGATGTCTAGTCGTCTGGAAGAAATTGGAGGAATTCGCTTGCTAATGACGTTCTGCATGACATCGAGAGCCGTAGCGCCTTCGAATGGCGTCTGCCCGCAGAGCATCGTGTAGAAAAGAATACCAAGACTGTAGATGTCGGTTCTTGTGTCGGGTTCAGCGGGCATTCTACCAGTCTGTTCAGGGGATATGAAGGCCAACTTCAATTCGATGCCAGTCTCTTTTGACAGGGTACTCCAACCCGCGCTTGTCAGTCCGTTCTCGAAAGATCGTGCGCCGGATCCAAAGTTGATCATCTTGACAGTCCCGTTCTCAGCGAAATGGAAGGCATCGCCCCGAATCTCGCCATGGACGATTTCGTGACCGTGGTGCAATATTTCCAGACACTCGACTGATCCGACGGCAAAGTCGAGGAAGGTGAGGAGAGGTATCCCCTTGTTGGGCAATGAAGTATCTGATTGACCGCTTTGCCCATGACTGCCAACCTTCCAGAAATTGGGGCCGAAGTTGACCAAGTCGTTGAGGTAGTTGGGCCCTGGGGCTTCGAATATACTGGCGACAAGAGGCTCCTCACCGGCTTTGGTGGATAGCCTCACAAACTCTATGGGGCGAACAAAGTGCTTGCACTCTGGATCCGACTCCTTGACGACGAGTTTGGCGAGCTGGAACTCGCGTTCGAGGCGCAGAGTCTGCTGCGAGACACGACATACGACGGTCCGGCCTTCTCTCGCCACACCTTTGGCGGTGGTGTTGGTGCGGTGTGTTTGTACGGTAGAGGCGCTCGCATCGGAGCCCGAACTGCGGTGAGTGCGTGTTATGGTTGGGCGGCTTCGGGTCAGGGAGTCGGGTGAATGCGACAGCTTGAAAGAGGTGGGGGAGGTTACGGCGCTCCTTCCTCTTGACTGAGGGCGATCCTGCCGGGGCGCTTGCTTCTCGTAACCGAAGAAATGCCAGTTATCATACGACTATTCGACGTTAGCAGGGTGCAGCGACAACCTGGGCTATGCGACGCCTCTTACTGAGTGGAAGGGCTCAATGTCCGTGTCCCAGCCATAGTTCTGCAGCTCCTGCAGACGCGCAAAGATGTGCGAGAAGTGCTGCGTGCGCCCGCCTCCTTCCGATCGAGTCATTGTGTCTTTCCGATGTTCGCAACCGCCAGGGATCTAAGACATGCTCTGGGTGGGATGTAGAGAATCAATGTGTAGGGTAAAGTCGCCAGGCGCTCGATCTATCCATCACAGCATCAGCGGGACGCGACTGCCATGTCAAGAGCGCGGTCGTCGGGAGTGTTGGGAGCAACGGGAGGGGCGTAAAGGAGAGTCCGGTAGGCTGTTGATGCCAGTGTTCTAGAGGGAGCAGACGCGCATGTGGAGTGCTTACTGATGGCATTCCAGCCACAGCAGACCGACTGCGAAGATGCGCTCAGACTTCGCGCTTGTTTCTTAGACGTCATAATCGACATGGGCTCGCTGTAGCGGAAGTTTGCGCCCAACGCACCGCACGCAAAAGCAACGTTTCCGTGCCCAGCCCAACGCGCTCTGAAACCAAAACCAAGCATGCATCCGCAGCGAATATCAACGTGGACCATGTGTGGCTGGCATGCGAGCACCCCCCGCGCAAGTTGGGGCGGCTGTATCTGGCATAGCGGAAGATCGGCCTGGCGCGTTAGCCCTCGGGCTGGAGCCGTTGGTAGCGACATCATCGTGGTTCAGGGCCAGTAGTGCCGTCTGCATCATCTGCATACCGACGCTGCATTATTACCACCTCCGCCGGGCGGGTCAGCAATACGCCCAGTCGCAATTTCCCACTGCGACCGACTTTCGCCCCCCATAGCACCCTCTGCCTGCCCGCCACTGTTAGACTGACGCTGCCCCACCACAGGCGACCGGGCATCCCTCGACATTTGACACATGCATCTTCCGCAGAGGTAGCCGATGTCATAGCAAACACCATCCTTCCACATCCACCCTATTCAATGTCACACAATGGACTCGCCCGACCACGAGCATGCCTATTCAGGCGACCTTGGGGAACCTATGAGGCCACGACAACTCCCCTCGGACCTGCCCACTTCTCTCAATGACAGGCGACCTGTCACCATCATGAATGAGGAAACCGAGATCTACGACGCCTGGCAGGGTAAGTCTCAGATTAGGAAGGCGCAATGAACCGCGAGGAACTGACGTCGTCCAGGGCAGTCGCAATTTCTCACCACCCCCATGCCCGCCCGCCCGCTCAGTTTCAACCTCTCGCTCGACGACCCGACATTTGGCGACGAAGACATGCAGCAGCTCGAGGACAGCGATAGTCGCCTCGTGCAGATGCTGGCCCACCAAGCGCGCCTCAAGAACGACAACGCAGGTGACGAGGCCAAGGTTGTCGCCGACGACAAGTTGTCACACGAGGAAAAGAAAGAGGCTTTACAGGGGCTTTTTACACTGGCCGCTTCGAATGGCGAGCTGGAAAGAGTAAAGCGGCTGCTGGATGGGAAAACGCGGGAATACATCAACATCAACGGCGTCGACGCCGAAGGCACGCCGCCACTCGTCTACGCAAGCTGTTTTGGACACGAGGACGTGGCAGCTACACTTCTCGAGCAGGGCGCAACTGTTGATATGCAGGACAAGAATCGCTGGACGCCGCTCATGTGGGCCATGACAAATCGGCACAAGGCCATCGTCAAACTTCTGCTCGACCACGGCGCATCGACTGATGTCAAGTCTTCTGGAGGAAGGACCGCCTTCGATTTCGTCGAGCCCAACACCGAGCTGTCCGACTATCTACACGAGAGCGGATACGCGATTGGCAACGTCGGTGTTGGCGACGACTTCTACAGCTCTGGATTCTCTCAGGACCGCTTTGAGCAAGAAATGCAGGAGAACGACTTGAAACGGCGCATGATGATGGAGAGTGCTTTCAATCTCGAGGTTGATATCGGCAACCTTGGCTTAGACGAACAGCCCGAGTCACCTGAAGAGCCAGAAGAAGAAGCACAGGAATTCATCTGGGACAGATGTCTCAACGACCAGATGTTTGTCTTTCAAGAAAGCGAACTGGAACGTATACTGGACATCATCATCACAAACATGACGCCGCAGCGCTCTCCGTCGCAAAAGCCAGTTCCCGCAAACATACTCTTCCTGAGTGCCCGCTACGCACACTATCATGCGAACCCGGAACTTCTCGAGACCCTGCTGGTCTCTGCCATGAACAAGATAAACGACGTTGTAGAAAAGCACCAGTGGGATATGACTGTGCTGGCCTTCTGGATGTCCAACGCGACACTGCTTTTACATTACCTCAAGAAAGACGGCGGGCTCACGAGTGCGACTACTGAGTTTCAACTGCAGATGGCAGAACTTATCAATGAGATTTTCATCTTGATCATCCGTGACGCCGAGCGAAGGATGGACAAGAACTTGGACCAGGCAATGCTCGACCATGAGCCCATGCCTGGCTTCGAAGACGTACAGTTCCAACACGAATGGAAAATATTTCGTTCCAAACCCAAGGCAAAGCCATTAGAACCCCTTGAGAAACGCTTCCGACCGCCATCTCCAAAGCGCAGAGCACAGCCATCACCGCGAAACATCACTTCTCTCCTATCATCCACCCTGTTCGTCCTTGATCTGTACGATGTGCACTCTGTCATTGCTGCGCAGGTGCTATCGCAGCTCATTTACTGGCTTTCCGCCGAAGTCTTTAACCGCATAATGTCGAACCGGAAGTATCTTGCACGGACAAAAGCTATGCAAATACGCATGAATGTCTCGACGCTCGAAGACTGGGCTCGTTCCAACAACCGGCAACCCGAACATTACGAGAACGGCTCCATGACTTCTACCGGCGAGAACACCGCGGACGCTGCTAAGCGGCATCTCGAGCCTCTGGTGCAACTTCTGCAATGGCTTCAATGCTTCTCTTCACTCGGAGAAGATCTAGAGTCGCTCGTGGGTACTCTACAACAGCTAACACGTCTGTCGCCCCAACAGCTACTACACACCGCGAAATATTACCGCCCCGAAGTGGGCGAGAAAGGCCTTCCGAAAAGCGCTTCCAAGTACATTGTACATCTGCAAAAAGCTGCCGCTGATCGTAAAGCCGCACGCACAAAGTCGCCCAATCCGCCGC